AGGAGTTCAACCTGCTGCAGTAGCCGGAGCGAAGTTGTGCAAGTGTTGTGCGTGTCTCCCGAGGCAGATGAAGCTCCGTCTCGTCTATGTCCGGGGGTGGTATGCCTAGAACGGCATTCACAGGTCTAGAGTCTACATAACTCGAGATTGAGTCCCTGTGAATGCCGTTCAGGGCCAGTCGGTAAGCTGTCGGGTCCAGAGGTTGCTTAATGAACCTCTGGACTTCGTCCGTCAGTTCATATAGATGCCTCCTGACGTGCCTAGGCGAGGGCTCCTCTGTAAGCAGCTGTCTGCTTGGGTGGCCACTTCTGTGGCTCCCGATCAGGAACTGCTTGCAGATCATTATATTGTGCTCCTTTATAGGGAGCATTTGCGCCTCGCCGTGCAGGTGGTGTTCAGGCGACATCAGGAGGCATCCTGTCGCTGTCCTGAGTGCGGTGTTCTGTACAGTCTGTAGCTTCGTCCACTGCGTCCTACTAGTCCCTGGCGACCACACTGGCGCTGCGTAGTTCAAAACCGGCCGGCCTATTGCCTTGTATGTTGCCAGCAACGTTTCTTTGTCTTTGCCCCAAGTGCTGCCGGCGAGCGACTTGAGGACCTTGTTGCGGCTCTGTACTTTATTTACAACTGCGGTTGTGTGCGTGGAGTAGGAGAGCAGGCTATCGAAGGTGACCCCTAAAATTTTCGGGGTGTTTACAGTCGGTATTGGTGTGCCATCGACGTGTATACCTAATTCTAGCCTGACCCCCTTCGTCCAGGTGGTTGTTGTTGTTGTAGCGGCTACTAAGCCCCGTTGGGGAGGTTCATCCATCAACGTTGTCGTCAATTTCAGCTAGGGGGAGGCCCAGGAAGTGTGCTACTTCCGCAGGGGCTGTCCATAGGGACAGGGGCGTAAGCTTAGTGGGTTCTCAGGCGCATGTGAAAGGTGCCGGGAGTCATGTGGCGACTCTCCACATGCCGGGCATTGGTTGGGCACATCCTCGTTGATTCTGCTCAGGTAGCTGGTCGAGTCTGCTGCAATAGCCAGCATCGAAGTTGGGCTATTGTAGTGCGGGTCCCCCGGGGCAGACAAAGTTCTGTCCCGTCCACGTCCGCGTGGTTGTGTGCCTAGAACGGCATTCACAGGGGGGAGTCTACATAACTTGAGACTGATTCCCTGTGAATTCCGTTCAGGGCCTGTCGGTAGGTTGACGGGTCCAGAGGTTGTTTGATATACCTCTGGACTTCGTAAAGATGCCTCCTGACGTGCCGTAGCGAGGGCTCTTTCTCCGAGCAGTTGCCGCTGGGATGGCCACGTCTGTGGAACTGCTTGCAGAGCATTATGTTATGCTCCTTTACTGGAGCATCTGGGCCTCGTCTGAGGTGGTGTTACTGTCATCAGGAGGCATCCTGTCGCAGTTCGTAATCCGTGTTTTGGCAGGTCTGTAGCTTCATCCGCTGCGTCCTGCTTGTCCCCGGCGACCATACGGGCGCTGCTATTTAGAACCAGCCGGCCAATTGTTGTATGTTCCAACAACGTTTCTTTATCTTTGCCCCAAGTGCTGCCGGCCAGCGACTTGAGGACATTATTGCGGCTCTGTACTTTGTTGACAATTGCGTTGTATGCGCCAGAAGGAGACAGACTGTCGAAGGTAACTCCGAGGATTTTCGGGTTATTCACCGTCGGTATTGTTACGCCACCGACGTGAATACCCAGTGTCAGTCTGACCTCCTTCGTCCAGGTGGTGAAAAGGGTTGCCGAGGATTTCGCAGGGATAGGGCAAGGCCCTTGCAGTGAAGGAGCGAGAACGTTCGGAGAGTAACCGTTTACTTTCGAGCACAAGTCATCAATTCCATTCCCAGACGCCATGATCGAACAATCGCAGCATTGAGACTATATTAACACCCTCTGGTGGCTGAGGAAGCTTTGAATGTAATAATTAAACAGTAGCGGGGACAGGACACCACCCTGTGGTACCCCCTGTTTAATTTTACTGCTTGCTAGTTTTGTCTCTGAAAATTACTACGAGTGTCGACCACTCAGGTAATTCGCCGACCACCGTTTGAGTCCCTGTGGGAGTGAGGAGGCCTCTATATCTTCTAGTAGCGTTGAATGACTGACAGTCTCGAACGCCTTGGACAGGTCCAACGCTACTAGAATAGTTCTCACAGGGGCGGTTTCAGTTAAGCCACGAGGTATCTGAGTGTTTATGGCGCTAAGTGTTGTTTTGTACTATGCACTTTACGGAACCCATGTTGATGCTTCGCTGGGGTCAGGTGGTTCGTAAGTACGGGAGCAGCAGGGCCTCGAGTGTCTTCGCTACCGGGGAAAGGAGAGTTATCGGGCGATAAGACTCTCCTTTGTTGGCTGGTTTCCCCGGTTTGAGCAGTGGGAACACTCTCCCCATTTTCCAGATGTCTGGAATGACGAGAGTGGCCATAGACAGGTTGAGGACCTCCGTTAGGTACGATACTTCCGCAGCACCCAAATTTTTCAGCATCAACATGCATATTCCGTCGGGTCCAATGGCTTTGGAGGCTTTCGCATTCCCGATGGCTACCCTTACCTCACCGCTGGCGAAAACAAGAGGCGCACTAGGTTTCGGCATTTTGTGCAGCCTACTGGTCACTCGACGTTTGGCTTTATCCACCGGAGGAAGCAGAATGAACTGCCGGCTAAAATAGCTCGCTCATCTCTCCGGGTCCGACGAAGCGTGGTCACCAAAGACTATCTCGACTCTGTCATCGCGCTTCGTCGGGTTGGACAACGACCTCAAGGTTGACAAAAGCTTGCTCACACCAGAGGCGAAGTTGCAGGTCTTCAGATGCTCTTCCCATTTCTTCCGCTTATGTACGTTCACAAGTTGCCGAATCTCCGAATTGAGATCCCTAATACGGGGATTTCCGATATCGGCCTGACGAAGGTTGTCGCGCTAATCAGCTAGAACAGCCGCTTCGGCAGGAAAATTCGGACGTGGATCGTTAATACATCCTGCTGGGATGAAGCGAGCTGCAGCAGCGGTGACAACCCTGCGGAACTTACGTTCACCTACATAAACGTCGGTTGGTATGGGCAGTGCAGTTAAGGCGCCCTCGGTAACATCCGTGAAGCCTTTCCAGCCAGCTTTGGAAAAGTTGACATAAGTCCGGTGATCCACGGAAGCAAAGTCGGCAGGTTTATCAATCGAGATGACTATGGGCAAATGGTCTGATGCAATAGTCAGCATAGGTCGCCATGATACGCTGTTTATCAGACCAGCGCTGACAATTGTTAGATCTGACGAACTGCAGCAGCTGCCCATAATCCTGGTGGGTGCGTCGTCGTTCATTGTGCAGAATGTCGAATCGTCTATCTGCACAGCCGGATGTATTCCCCTACGATCATTTGACAGGCTTGAATGCCAAAGAACGTGGTGGGCGTTTAAGTCATCAACTACCATACGGTTTTCACCTCTGAGTAACGCACCTATTTCAATGTAATATCCTGCCGGGCAGCTGGTGACAGGGGGTATGTATACGCTAAATGACCCAGGTTGGTATCTATGCGGTCGATGTCTGCTTCAATGAGACGATACTGCACGGTGTGGTGCGTGATGAACGCTAAACCTCCACCATTATCTCGCTCGCGATCTCGACGCACGTTGTATTCGACGCAATTCAATTGCCGTGCAACTTCGTCTTTTGGACCGCAGCTATTAATATTACATGTCTTCCCATAAAGACAGTTATCTCCTCGATCTTGCTCTGGAGTCCGTTACAGTTAAATTGTAGCACCTTTGTTTGCCTTGGGAGACCGATTGTGATGTGTGGTGTTAAAGAGTTGTGTTTCCTGCCGGCCCCCTGCTACACGTGGTGCAAAAGGGGGTGCTGCCTTGTGGTGGTGGTTGGCGGCGTCGCGGGGGAGGGATGCGACGGGGCAGCACAGAAGGGGCAAGAGTTGCACTTGACTGATGTCACGTTACGGTATATTCTGGACTGACAAACAGAGCAGATTGTCGGAGGGACTAGGAGTTGCCGGCGGCGGTGTGTGGGTGCTATTGTGTTTGTTTGTGTGTTTATTGTTGTGTTGTGTTGGGGTGTGGGTGTGTTGATTGTGTGCTGCCCAGGGGGGTGGTGGTTTGCCGTGGAGGCGGTCCGGTTCGCACAGCATGGGGCCACGAACGACGTGGTCCATTGCCGGTGCGTACAGCCCGAGCAGTTACGGATGCGACTCCACCCGCCACAGGCATTGCACCTGACCGAGATGGAGTTTGTATGCAGTCGTCGGTGTAGATTTCTGGCCCTGGGTTTGACTCTCTGGCAGCCCTGAGCAGAAGGGTACGGAGAAGCTGTAGCCCTAGAATCGAACAACGGGGTTAGATCGCCGAAACAACAGCCCTTGGTCGGGTAAAACCCGAGTCATTCCGGTACGTAGAACCGGCTGTCGTGGGAATGTCGTCCAGGTGGTGAAGAGGGTTGCCGTTGATTTCGTTGGGGAGAGTGTTAGGCTCCTTGCAGTCCTTTACTTTTGAGCAGAGGTCATCAATTTCATTAACCGTAGTCGGTGGGGTTGCATTTTTGTGAATGGCGATTCGTGCCCTCTGTTGCAATAAATACGGCAGCACCACAGCAGCAATCCATTTAAACGTCACATACAAACAAATTTGGTTGACGTATACCGCGCTTGGGCTTTTCCTTTACTTCCGCGAGTCTGATAGCTGGCTATAGTTCGAAAGAACGTAGATAACCTATATTTTTGATGATATTTTTAGCCATGCAATTTGTTTTTTTCGTGCAACCCTGCGTGAGTTGAATGCAAAAGTTGCCTGAAAAATCGTCTCGTGCGAAAGCCCTATTAAGGTCCAGTATTGGAAATCTGTCAGAACTTTGCAAACTATCAAAAAAATTTAAGATGTATAAGAAGTATTTATTTGCAGTCCATTTCCTTTAAAGGCGAGTGGCTCTCAGGGAATCGAGTAATTTTCCCGTATTCGTAACATTTCTGTACATTCATTCATTTGTGGTAGACAACTTAAACTTACCAACAATTCTTCGTCCATAAATTCATTAGGTGTTGCATTTTTGATCTCTATGCAAGGGTCTATTCTTGTGTCTAATTCGATTTCAACTCTTTCAAAGTCCTTAAACACAAAACTATTGTCACGATTTTCCTAAAAATACACATTAAATCAATATTTGTAAAATCTAAAACCTCACGGCAACAGAACCTACCGTTTGGAAAACAGCTTCCTCTTCTTCAAATTCTTTTATGTCTTCTTCCTGTTTTAATTCGAGTTGAGAAAACTCTAGAATATGATCTTCATAAATATGTCGGATAAAATTTTCGAGTTGGAGAAAAGTATAGTCGCAAAACCCGCAATTAAGGAAGAATTCTGGTTTCTCAGATGACAACAATGTGGCGATTTCGCCACATTTTTTTAAATCCCTACACTCAATTTTCGAGTTGAAAGACTTTACGTCCATGGTATCGCAATGTCGCAATGTTTATATTAATACTTTATTAGTTTGCTCCCGCGGCAGTATGATATATGTTTGCTGAGAAAATAAGTTTTTTGTGATAGCCAAAACGCGCACAATTTATAAACAAATCAGATTTAGAGATGGTAGTGTTGATACGATTATTTCAAAATAATGGAATAACCCAGGTCTTCACCTTCTACAGATTCTGTTAAAAAAAAAGCTTAGATAAGGTCGGTGTTATGCAGAAATTTTGTTTGGCAAACTGCGTGCAATTGTTGTTGCAGCAAACTCGGAGAGAGCGAGTTTGACGACTCTCACAGCAAACTAATTTTGTTTGGTCAAACTGCAGCAAATTCGGTGTTGTCATATACAAAAATTTTAAATTTTGCGCGTTATGTACATCTGAAATTCTCATTTCGTGTTGGCAATAGCCATGAAAACCATAATGAACGTGCAACCCTGTGCCAAACTCGACATAACCACCTCCGAGCAAACTTAGCAGCCGCCATTTAATTTGGCAAACAAAAGTTTGTCTGCATAACACCGACCTAAGTAGGTATGCCAACGATGCATCGATGGTTACAAAACATCGATGTTTCGTCCAAAAATATCGATGTTAAAATACTATACTTCGTCGATACATCGACAGGAAAATTAAAAAACATCGACCTCTGTACTCAACAAAATGGGTAATATAGAGCGAAAATTGGAACGTATTGGATCGTAAGTGTCTTCTTCTTCCTGCCCGAAACAGCCCAGACTTTTTCTCCGGGTAAAAATTGATAAAGCGTCAAAGTGCATATCAGCTGTTTTGTGTTTACATGTTGCCTGCATTTACTTGGTGCTTGCAAGGATTAGTGAATATGTTTTTACTCTTTATATTCTTAAAATCAAGTTTGTGAAACAAAAATTCAATTTCGAAGTGTTTGCAGCAAACTTGAGAGCAAATTTTTCGCTTATTCCCTAATTACAGGATCCGGTCCGGATTGTTAGGGAAAGAAAATAATAATACAAGGTCATGAAACCAACTTTTAGTTGCTCGGTGCTATTTTTGGAACGCTTCATGAAATATTTTCATAGACGGTAAATGCAACCCTGGGCGCATCATTAATGAGCTGAAAAATCAAAACAAATAAAAAAATTTCATCTGAACCAGTAGTCCCAAAAATTATAAAGTAAAACAAAAACAATTTTTCCGATGTATGTACTGTTATTTTTATTATTGCAATACAGTTTCAGCTCTTCAACCATTTTGAGCATAAAGGCTCCGAAATGGGACCCCTAAAAGACTCATTTATGACGCCAAATGTTTGCTGGGTTGAGGCTGAAAGTGAGAATGGATTTGTGAGATTTTAAATTTCAAAACATTTCTGTCATGTTAGCAAACTTCAAAAATGTTCAGGCTGCCGGTTAGCCGGTTTTGTATCATGGTTGGCGTGCTAGGCCACTTGGGTTCTTTGAGTCGGAATCCACATTATGCTTTTAAAGCCAGTAGTTTCCGATCCCATTTGCTCGTTTTTTTCAGTTCTGAATTTGGGCTAGGTTTTATGGGAACTTACTGTGGGTACATACAGACCACATTTTGTAAATATGTACATATATATGTATACACTTCAACTGAATTGTGATAATAATAATAATAGATTGGCGCTTACACATATGTTAGTGTTTGGCCGAGCTTCTCCTCCGATTTGTGGCGTGCGCCTTGATGTTGTCACACAAAGAGGAGGGACCTACAGTTTTACGCCGACTCCGAACGGCGATTGTATTTTCATGAGCTGTTTTTCATGGCAGAAATACACTTGGAGGTTTGCCATTGCCTGCCGAGGGGCGACCGCTGTTAAGAAAAAACTTTTTTTCTAAATTTTTTGAGATGGTGCTTTGACCAGGGCTTGAACCCAGGCGCTTCGGAGTGGAAGCGCGCACTGCTTACCACAACACCACAGTGGCCGTTTGATCTGACTGAATTGTGATATTTAATTTTATTTTATAATGAATAATGAATTTAATTTGTGCAATTTTTTATGTTTACTAGATGTAAGACAATTTTTATTTTTCTTTATATATTGCATGCTTTAGTTTAAATTCTTTTTAAGTTAAGTAGTAAAGGTGAAAATAAGCCTCCTGGAACCGAGCACCTAAAAAAAAAGTCGGTAACACGCCTAAAAGCATACCTCACAGGTGGTGTGGAAAATGCAAGAACAAATATAAATGGAACAATTTTCAAAATTATTAAATGGTTATTGGTATTTTCCATCTTAAAGGCGATCATTAATTTGAACATTATTTAAGCTGCCTATACACGGTCGATTTTTGTCGTTTAACTAAAATCTACCCGTGTAAATTCCAATTCAACCGTAAAATGTAAGAGTTTTGGCTAGTCGATATCTCAGCCAATTTTCCAATCGACAGAAATCGACCCGTGTAAAGGCAACTTCAGGAATTTTTTAATTTGGCAACCATGTGCCTACCGTTACCGGGTCCCAGAAACCGCCCGACGAGAAATAGAGAGACACGTTGGTGACGACCCCATTATGTCACCCCAACCGACACAGGCACTTCAGCAACGACCGCCACCACGCATGGATCAGCATCATCGAGGAGTACCGTATAATACCGCCGCGAGGACCTCACCCCCTTCGAGAGCCGCGACTCAGACTTTTCATAGCGGAAACACATGCAGGAGGTGTGGTCAAGAGGGACACTTCGCCCGAAGGTGCCGTAACCCACGGAAGCAGTTCTGTTGGGAGTGCGGCCGGGCCGACATACGGCTGCCGGAGGCGTCAGGGAAACGAGAGAGGGCTTCAACAGGGGACCGGCGCGATGAGCCCCCGAGTACAGCGCCGGACAACCAATAATTTTGAGCCAGGAACGCGGTCGCCTCTACGCCCTAATCTCGTTGGGTGGAGCACCCGCCGAAGCCGTCATCGACACAGGTGCCTCGAGGAGCTTCGTCTCCGCCAGCGTGGCGGAGCAATTGATTAGCTTGGGGAGCGGCAAAGAGATAACTGTGGCCATAGGAATCCTTATGGCTGATGGCACCAGGAACCAAGTATCCGAGGCCGTGAGAACCGTAATCCGCCTTAGGCAAACGATCCACAACGCCGTTCTGCATGTCATGCCTGGAGCAATTGACGACATTTTGGGCCTGGACACACTAGGGGGAATGGGAGCTACGGTGTCCTGCGGAGGACACCGCGTCGTATTGACGGAGCTACCTATACAACCCACGTCGACGACACCAAGCGAGCCAACACCAGGCACCGAGGACTCCGAACCACCAGCCATGACGAACCATCGCCCACCAAGGAGCAGAAAAGGGAGGCGCCGTACAAGACGACGGTCCGCAAGGGAGAGGGTCAACAGAATAGAACACGAGGACCCCAATCACGAAGAAGAGGCAGCCCGCATACGCGACTTTCTAGCCGAAGAACTGCAAAAATTCGAGACTATGAGCGGAGTAGCCACAGTGGGAGAGCACCGGATCATCATGACTGGCGAACGACCCATCAAACAGCGGTACTTCCCGCGCAGCCCTGCAATGCAATCTGTCATCGACGCGGAAATCGATGGGCTACTCACGAAGGGATGTATAGAGCCGTCTCGCAGTCCGCACAGTGCACCAATCGTACTAGTCCGGAAGAAGAACGGCAAGTGGCGCCTATGCGGGGACTATCGTCAACTCAATGCCCGGTCAGTACCGGACGCATACCCCTTGCCGAGGATACAGCACATATTGGACAAACTGCGCCAGGCGAAGTACATCAGTAGCTTAGACCTCAAGAACGGGTACTGGCAGATACCTCTGAAGCCCAAAAGCCGCCCGTACACAGCCTTCACCGTACCGGGGCGCGGCCTGTTCCAGTGGCGCGTCATGCCGTTAGGCCTACATTCCGTCCCCGCCACATTCCAGAGAGCATTGGACCAAGTCTTTGGCCCGGATATGGAGCCATACGTGTTTGCTTACCTCGACGACATAATCGTCATAGGCTCCACCTTCGAAGAACACGTGAAACACTTGCGAGAGGTACTCCGACGACTACAGCGGGCCAACCTGTGCATTAAACCCGAGAAGTGCGACTTTTGTAAAAGGGAGCTCCGGTACTTGGGCCACGTCATTAGTGACAAGGGCATACATACCGACCCCGACAAAGTCGCCGCCATCAAGCAACTAAAACCACCGAACAACGTGAATGAGGTACGCCAATACCTCGGGATAGCCGCCGGTTCGTACCCGACTTCGCTACGCTAAGCCAACCACTCACCGCCCTCCTGGAGGTGGGGAACTGAACAACAGGAAGCGACAGACGGACGCCAGCAATTTCGGCCTAGGGCAGTACTCACACAGGAGTTGGAAGACGGTGAACGAGTAATCGCATACGCAAGTCGGAAGCTTAATAAGGCAGAGATCAATTATTCGGCCACGGAAAAGGAATGCTTAGCCATAGTCTGGGGAATACGCAAAATGAGGCCCTATCTGGAAGGATACCGATTCAACGTCATAACCGACCCCACATGTCACTAAAATGGTTAAATTCGATCGAAAGCCCCTCAGGTCGCATAGCGCGATGGGCCTTGAAGTTGCAACAACACGCGTTCGACATCGAGTACCGCAAAGGAAAACTGAACTTAGTCGCGGACGCACTGTCTCGACAACCCCTAGAAACGCTACTACGAACAACCGTGGCGGAGCCACGATGCAAGTGGTGGCACAGACGGGTCGATGAAGTACGTACCAACCCGGAGAAATACGCCGATTACATGATACAGGAGGGGCAGCTCTACCGTCATATCCCGTGTCGATCCCAGGAGGAAGAGGCAGTCCCCTGGAAACTGTGTGTGCCCAACCCCCTCCGTCAACGAGTACTGAGGGAGAACCATGACATACCAAGCGCGGGACACATGGGTATTCGCCGGACAGTAGCACGGATTGCCAATTGGTATTATTAGCCAGGAATGTTCCGCGACATCAGCCGGTACGCCCGTCAATGTGAGTCCTGCCAGAAGTATAAGGAGGCACAACACAAACCAGCCGGCAAGATGCTCTCGCAGGTCGCACAAAAATCTTTCGCCACGTTGTGTGCCGACTTCATCGGACCCCTACCACGGTCCACGCATGGCAACACCATGCTACTTGTGTTTTTCGACCGATTTAGCAAGGGGGTCGAGTTGGTCCCCATGAGACAGGCCACAGCGGAAGGACTTCGCCGCGCGTTTAGGGAACGTATCCTCGCCCGATTTGGTGTACCCAAGGTCTTCATCTCGGACAATGGTGTACAATTTACTAGCACGCTCTGGCAGCGTTACCTCTAGGAGGTGGGGTACGCCAACAATTTACGGCCCCGTACACACCCCAAGAAAACCCGACGGAACGCGCCAACCGCACTGTAAAGCGAATTATCGCACAGCTAACGAAGGCACAACATAGGCAATGGGATGACCTCCTCCCAGAAATCACACTCGCCGTAAATACGAGCGTCACAGCCTCCACAGGATACAGCCCTGCGTTCCTAGTACAAGGACGGGAACCACGCCTACCAGGAGCACTCTTCGACGAAATAAATGTCGCAACAGGTGAAATAGCTCCGACGGCCGAGGAAAAGTCCACAAGGATGCAGGAGGCGTTCAGGATCGTCAGACAAAATATGGAACGTGCCGCGACCGACCATGCGCGCCACTATAACCTACGTGCGTCGCCGGGAGTATCGATTTTTATAAAGATTTTTCAATAAAAATCAATACTTCCATATAGAATGAAAATTTTTAATAAAAAATCGCGCGATTTTTTATTACTAATTTTCGCTTGTGGCGCTTTTTTCAATAAAAATCAATACTTTCATATATAATGAAAATTTGTAATAAAAAATCGCGCGATATCCTATCGCTACTTCGATATATAATGACAATTTTTAATGTTTAGTTATTTCCACAATTAATTATCCCACATAACAGTCTGAACACCATGTAAACATATTCCTCCGTTAGGTACGCCACCCCCGCAGGACCCAAATTTTTCAGCATCAGCATGCTTATTCCATCGGGCTTTGGAGGCTTTCGCCTTCCCGATGGCCACCTGAACTTCACCGCAAGTGAAAGCAAGGGGGCAGGTTGTTGGGAGTTTGTGCAGCCTTCTGGTCACTCGAAGCTTGGCTTTGTCCACCGGAGGATGCAGTATCAACTGCCGGCTAAAATATCTCGCGCATCGCTCCTGGTCCGACGAAGCATGGTCGCCGAAGGAAATTTCGACTCTGTCGTCGTGCTTCGTCGGATTGGACAGTGACCTCACGGTTGACCAATTCTTGCTCACACCAGAGGTGAAGCTACAGGTCTTCAGATGCTCCTTCCACTTCTTCCGCTTATGTACATTTACTAGTTGCCGAATCTCCGCGTTGAGATCCCTGATACGGGGATCTCCGGGATCGGCCAGACGAAGGCTGTTCCGCTTATCGGCTAGAACAGCCGCTTCAGCAGGGAAATTTGGGCGTGGGTTGGTGATGCATCCTGCCGGTACGAAGCGGGCTGCAGCAGCGGTGACAGCCCTGCGGAACTTACGTTCACCAAGGTGGACGTCGGTTGGTGTGGGGAGGGCAGCGAAGGTGATTTCAGTAAATTCCGCGAAGCCTTTCCAATAAGCTTTTGAAAAGTTGATATATATTCGGTGCTCCGCGGAAGCAAAGTCGGATGGTTTATCTATCGAGATGACTATGGGTAGGTGGTCTTATGCTAAAGTCAGCATAGGTCGCCGTGTTATGCTGTTTATCAGACCAGCGCTGACTATGGTGATATCTGGCGAGCTGCTGCAGTTACCCATAATCCTGGTGGGTGCGTCGTCGTTCATTGTGCAGAATGTCGAATCGTCTATCTGCTCAGCCAAGTCTGTTCCCCTACGATCGTTTGACAGGCTTGAGTGCCAAAGATCGTGGTGCGCATTAAAGTCACCTACTACCATACGGTTTTCACCTCTGAGGAGCGCACCTATATCAGGGTGATATCCTGCCGGGCAGCAGGTGACAGGGGGTATGTATAT